TCCCCATTCAGTCTTCAGAATTTTTAGAAGGGTACCATATATCCCTAACTTTGCTAGGATCATTCCTTTGTGCTACCTTCTGTTTTCCTACCTATGCTGGTCCTTTCCCAAGCTGGAAGTACACATTCTGCAGCAAGGCACCAAAAAGTATGTGAGCTCAATGTCACAACTATTTACTATCTCTGGGACACATCAGACAATGCAGAAACCTACCAAGAATTTTCAGGAACGCAATGAATGGGGGTGAGGGGGTGTGCCACAGCTGTGGGATGTCACTATCTACTTGGTAACATTTAACTAATAAAAACAAGTATAATATTGTATTTTTAAAAATTCCAAGTAGATTGTGATTAAGTGTTAAGGAACTGACCAGCCATAAAATGCTACAGTTACATAGAGCAGAAGGGTAAGCCACCAGGGCTGGAACTGGGCCTAGCAGGACTGATAAGATCAGACATCAGAGATGGATATAGACTACTCAGAGCCGCTGCTGTGGGAAAACACTTTACAGGCACTGTGGCCCTATACACCATGGGAAGAAATATGTGATGCCTAGGGCAAGACACAGTCAGTTCTGCTATCCCTGGGGTGGCCTGATGTCAGAAAGCCCCACAGAAATCTTCCTCCAGAGTAGGAGAGAGTCTACCCCTATTTTACAAATGCCATTTCCCTTAAGGCTGGAAGCCAAACCTTCCCCACAACTCTCTCACAGGATTTCTCTCACTGTGCTTCCAAAGAACAGAGCTGATAGCAAATCAAACTTATATTTTAAACAAGAAAGAGTATTTACAACTTACAAACTTTTCCACTTTTTGTTGGCATGGTCTGTCTCTTACAAAATTACATTAAAAGTCATAAACCCCCCCCCCAAAAAAACCCTTATATTTAAATTATTTAAATAAATTAAAATTAAGCCAGGTATCAGTGGTTCATGTTTATAATCCTAGCTGTTCAGAGGGTGACAGTCCAAAGTCAGTCTAGGCAGATAAATCTATGAAATTCCATCTCCAAAATAAATAGCAAACAGCAAGAATGCCCCCTGAGCAAGCAAGCCAGGTAAGTTCAAGGCCCTCTGTCCAAAATAATAACAATAAGTCTGGCACCGATGGCTCACACTTGTAATCCTAGCTACTCAGGAGGCTAAGATCTGAGGACCACGGTTCAAAGCCCAGGCAGGAAAGTCTACGAGACTCTAACCTCTATTCTACTAAAAAGTTGGAAATGGGACTGTGACAGAGTACTAGCCTTTAGCACAGAAGTTCAGAGATGATGCCTTGGCACTGAGTTCAAGCTCGAGGACCAGCATCAAAAATAGTAACAGTAATAAATAATAATTAACTAAAATTTAAGTCAACCACTGACCAAATTATTCAAGGGCTCTCATCCTTGGTATTGCTGTTATTTTGGCAATATTTCTTATAGAGGGCTGTCTTATACATAGTAAGATATTACAGTATCCCTGGCATCCACTCACTAAATTCTAGGCACATACCTGCTCTGATTGTGACAAAGATGGCTACAGACATTGTCATACATCACTGAGGTACAATAACCCCTTGGAATACCACAGTTTTAGGTATTCTCGGAGAGGATTCTGTGCTGAACCAGCTGTGCTGAACCTGTCTGCAGAGACCCTCCCTGCTCTAGGTCTCAGGATGCTGCCAGCCCAGCACTAGAAAGCTGGCAGAAGATTTGGAGTTCACAGGCTCATTTGAATGTATGCTCATCCTGGCTATCAAGGACAAACCTTGATGTAGAAAAGCTCCCCTTCCTAGCCTCTTTAAGGAGAGCTCCCATGCATGCTACTGTTTGGCCTCTATACCCATGGCTTCATGTAAGTTTCCTGATGCAACAGGAAAAGGTCTTATAAGCCCAATGTGATGTTCTAAAAACATTTCAACACAACTGCCACTGCTGGTTTTTACTAGTGAAAATAATGCCCCTGGAAGTGTTGCATGAGTATCACCCACCACACAGGTGGAACAGCACCAACTAGTTACCTAGTCATTCCTCCAGTTCCAAGGTTATCTGTCAGAAAGCAGCCAATGCACAAGATCTTTCAGCCCTAATAGCCTCTGTTCAGTCCAAGACTTTCCTGGGGCTTCCCACCTCTCCCCATCCCTGGCACTGGCCCATGTCTACTACACACCACATGAAATATTAGCCAGCCCACACTCAGGTTGTCAGGAGACCACTGAAGGCTGTGAGGTATCAGCACTCCTGGCTCAATGGTCTCAATTACTGAGCAGTGATGCTTTGGATAAAGCATGTGCTCTATGTTTATGCCAACACAAAGGCTGCCCAATAGTCACCTTCTTTGTGCTGTGCAACTGAAAAAAGGGGAAGAATAAATTTTGCTAAACTTAGCTGGTCCTGAAAACAGATTTCCAACTGCAATAATTGGTTACCAAGCAAAGTCCAGGAAGCTGTTTCATGGCCCCAACTCAGCTTGAGTACAATGCAATGACCACTTGTGGTTCCCTTTATACTATTAGCCAGTTGCAGGGCTTAAGGCCAGTTAGGCCTGGGGAGGGCAGGGTAAACTCAAAAATTGTAAGATCCCAACCTTCACCCTAGGGCTGCTGTCAATGTGACTGCCAAGTCAGAAAGATGACAAGAGCAGAATAAGGTCTGTCCCCTTTAGACTTGCCTTCTACCCCGAAGGAAAAGCATGTTTCACTCTCCTGCTTCACCATCCATCAATGCTCACTTCCAACCCACACATCTCAAACTACTCTGCACCACAGGTGTCTGTATGGCAAAACCCTCAGCAGTCCATTCACTGAATATAAAACCTCACCAGAAGAACAGAGACAAAAAGTCTTTAAAAAGCAATCAATGAAGCTACACATGGTGGCATATGTTTATAATCCCAACTACTTTGGGTCAGTGAGGCAAAGATAGGTGAAATCTCAAAAAGAAAACATAGCGGATACTAGTGGCTCACACATGAGTAATCCTACTCATTCAGGAGGCTGAGATCTGAGAATCAAGGTTCTAAGCTAGCCAAGGGAGAAAAGCCCAACTCTATTTCCAACTAATTAGCAAAAGAGCTGTACTGGAAGTATGAGTCAAGTGGTAGAATGCCATCCATGAAATAAAATGACCAACCGGAGCTTGAAGCTTAAGAGTTCAAGTCCTGTTATCAGCCACCAAAAATCGGAGGAGGAGAGGTTGGAGGCATAGCTCAGTTAGTAGAGTGCTAGTCAATGAGCAAAAGCAGCAGGTACAGAGTTCGAATCCAGTCTTGGACCTAAAAGAAAAAAGGAGGAAAGGCTGGAAAGATGGCTCAGTGGTAGAGTAGTTGCCTCACATGCATGAGGCCCTGGGTTTGATTCCTCAGTACCACATAAACAGAAGAAGCTGGAAGTGAGTGCTGTGGCTCAAGTGGCAGAGCACTAGCCTTGAGCTGAAGAGCTCAGGAAGAGTGCCCAGAACCAGAGTCCAAGCTCCACAACCAACAAAAAGAAAAAAGGAAGCCGGGCGCTGGTGGCTCACGCCTGTAATCCTAGCTACTCAGGAGGCTGAGATCTGAGGATCGCGGTTCAAAGCCAGCCCGGGCAGGAGAGACCGTGAGACTCCTATCTCCAATAAACCACCAGAAAACCGGAAGTGGCGCTGTAGCTCAAGTGGTAGAGCGCTCGCCTTGAGCTGAAGAGCTGAGGGACAGCGCCCAGGCCCAGAGTTCAAGCCCCACGGCCGACAAAAAAAAAAAAAGAAAAAAGGAGGAGAAGAAGGTGAAATGGGAGATGGAGGTGAAAAAGAGGAAACACAAACAAAAGGACTAAGAGCATTGCTCATGTGTGACAGTGCTTGCCAAACATGCCTAATTCCCTGAGTTCAATTCTCAGTACCACCTCTCCCAAGAATAAAGCAACAATGTGGTGTGTGTGAGAAAGAGAGAGAGAGAGAGAGAGAGTGAGAGAGAGAGAAAGAGAGAAAGGAACAGAAACACATACAAAAAGAGAGAGACAGAGACAGAGACAGAGGATAACAGGTATAGGTTCATACTATTAATGGTCTCCAGATCAAGAGTAGAAAAAGTGTCACCACAAAGAATAAGGAAACGAACCCACTCTGGCCTTTTACATGTGAACTAGAACAATCGCTCCCAAATCCCAATGTCCCTTACAAGTTCCTTGGATGGCAGTTATCTTGTTCACATCTAGAAGTCTCTTACTCTGCCTGTGACAGGTGAGGCTAGCCTATTTGACACATGACTAGATTTTCCAGGATGGTCCCAATTTTCAAAGACTACCTATATGTATGCACATGCATGTGCACACAGTTATCCACAGTAAGAGGCAGTCTTCTACTTTAACCCTTTATAAATGCAGTCATACTTCCGCTAGGGAAGAGAAATTTCCTTTATAGAGGAAAGGCAAGAATTGGCATGAGTAGGAAAGAAAAGCCAAACACCTGTTTGGGTTAAGGGGGTTGTCCTCTGAAATAAGAGTATCACACTCAGGAAGCAGGTGAAAAACCACATTAAGTAGCAGAGTACAAAGGAGTCGTTACATCTCTGGCCTAGTGACCAGAAGAACACTGAAAATAATGTCAAATCTCTTACATTAGCCAAAAAGAAAAAAAAAATCTATACCAAGATCTAATGTGACAAGTGAAACCAATCACACTGGGAACTAACAGGCAGCCCTGGAAAGACACCACATGAACCCACCTGTCCTCACCCATACCTAGTGTCCTACTCAGTCCAAATCTCCATTGAGACCAGGACTTCCCTAATGCAAAGTCCAAACTCCTTTTGGCCCTAAACAGAAGTGACTTCCTCTCTCAGTACTTCCTCTTACTCAGGACAACAGAAGACTATGCCTCAAACCCAGAGTTACCTGGGTTTATCTGCAGAGTTATCTCTACCTGGTACCATACTCCAAACTCCCAAACAGAAATTAGAGCAGGACTACACTGACACATAATGCTGCCAATGACACCCACAGGGGACTTGACAGACGTCGGGGACAGGGAGTGGTGAGGACACTTACCATCTCATCCAAGGCATAGCGTAAGAGTCCGTGCTCATAAAGGATGAAGAACCGCCGCTGCCATTTCTGTAACAGAACAAAGTAAGTGAGTGGTCAGTGAGCCAGATCTTGCCTAGCTGAAGCACTGTATCTGACAAACTCCTATCTAAGGAATGCTGGCTTCATAGGTTCCATTTCTGAGGTGGATGGTAGGAATAGAAAGACATAAAGCACAAGCACAGTGATTCATTAGCCTTGCTGGGGGCCAGGAGAGGGACCCAAATCACAATGTCATGTGGTTCCACATGAGTTATCAAGGTTTAACAAGAAGAGTCTTTTTAGAATCTAAAAGCTTCATGGAAGCAGATGGTTAATCACATGGTAATCATCTTTCTGTATTCCTCATGGTAGTAAGCACAAAGGTGTCCCATGATATATGTTGATAATTATGGATGAATGATCCAACACTATTTGGAATAACCTAAGGATACCACTGATTACTACTTCTTAAAATATCCAGGAAACTGCTATAAAAAGGGGTGCTCTGATCATTTTCCAGGAGATATAAGGACAACCAGATTCCAGAATTCAGAGATGGAATGAATTAACAAAAATCAAAAGGGAAGAGAAGTGAGATCAGAGGGAACAACTCCACTATTCAGGGTGTGACTGACTGCAAAGGGCACTGCCACTCACTCTCTATCCAAAGGCCAAGCCACAAGGCTACTTACTGCCAACAGTCAAATGAAACCAAGGGCTAGAATGAAAAGGGCTGTGGGTGGATATACTCTTTGTGTGGAGAAAGGGCCTAGTCTACAAAACAAGGTTATGGGCTAAATCACAATTGACAGGGAATGCCATTAACCCCCGAGGTCATCGGCAGGATCCAGGACCTATCCTCAGCATAGAACTAAACAATATTATGTGTGTATAGAGCAGAATTATATCATTTGCAATAATGACTCTTCCATCAGGAACTGGAAATGGCAATTCTGCACAAACAAGAGAAACCAGGAAGGGCACTTGCTCCCTGGAAACTGCAGTCTGACTAGATCTATCTCCCACCTGAGTGGCAAGAATAGGACCTTCCTTTGCCTTAAGGCAGGAATAGGTTCTTGCAAAGAGATGTGCAGGGTTGCTTTCAGGCCAGATGTCCAGAGCAGGGCTGCCTGGACTTGTCTTCCAGAAACATTTCCAAGTTTCCAAGGCTCCTATGTATAATCTTTGAAATCTAAACCCACTCCAGAAGAGTCCAAAGACCAGAGATATAATGTCAGGTGTGTGGGTCCAGAATATGTAGTCATGAAGCCCTGTCCCAGATGGAGAGGGGGTGAGCCAAAGAGACCAAAGGGAAAGGGAAGGGAAGCTTCAAAGATGAGAAGCAGGCACTGGAGTAGTTTGTAACAAGAAGATAGATAGTGCGTGAAAAAGAAAGGACAGCATTTTAATTGGAGCTGGACCCAAAGGGGCTTCCTGGCACAAAAACAAACCACAGTCAGGACAATGCTGTTTTAACCATCTCACTGTGCCACTGTGCCAGCAGAGACCTGCCCCAGCAGGTTCCCAGGAGATAAGAGAAATAACACAGCTTAGAGAGAGGGGAGCTTAGGCCTCCAGGACCCATCCTTTCAATAGTATTCATGTGCAGAGCCTCTAGCTCAGGAGGGAGCATCAGAAGGCAGGGCCTTGGCACTGTAAGAACTGGAACACAAATTAGCATAGTGCAAACCCATACTCAACTGCTCCTTTGCCTTTCCCACTTAATTGATTTGAAAGACCAGGTGAGAGTCAACATGAGAGTAGCTCATTCTGAAGAGAAGAGTCTGCATAACATATTCTGAGACAAGTCTGCTAAATGAATGGATCTTTGCTAACCTTGGCATCATAGATAAACTGCTCAACTCCTGTCTTCCTCTCCTATTTCACCAATTTGTCCTCAAAAGAACCCTTCTCTGTGTCATTTCTCCTACCCTGAATATTCACTCTGGTGTCCTTACCCGAGACCGGTGCACTGGGTTGTCAAAATCAGTCCCATCTGGAGCCAGGAGTAACCAGCCACCATAAATGGGTTTTGCCTAAGAGAGAGAGAGAGAGAGGAAAAAAAAAAAGGCAGGTTATCAGCAACTTTGGACCAGAGTGGGAGAGAGCCAGGCAAGACAATCAGGCAATCTAACAAGCAGGAAATCACCTCCCATACCCTAGTCGCAGGCTGATAAGTGTCCAAAGTAGAAGGACATTTGAGAGTAAAAGGCTGGAGGGATTCTGCAACATCAACTGTAGAGAGGGGAACACAAAACTCCATGAATTTGAAAACCCACCAAGTACAATATCCCAGAATACACAGGCATAGCTTCCCTTAAGTTCCCAATCAAAACATCAAGATCAGAAAAAAAATGGCATTCAATAGTATGTTAATTCCAGCATGTGTTCAGCACTAAGAATGTAACACAAATGAGAACAAAACATAGCACAAAGCAGGGCCCAGAAGAGTCAAAACTCATACCAGCCAGACTCATAAGCCACCTGCTACAGCCAAGTAGTAGGATTTCAAGTCTTCATTGAGTTGTTTCTCCCATGTGAAAGGTCAACAGTTCTACCTATACCTCAGGAAATTCATGTAGTTGATGTGAATACTGATTAAGATGATGCAAATAAATCCAGGATAGGAGGGTAAAATGGTGCAACCACTTGGCAAAACAACCTGGCAGTTCTACGAAAGGCTAACCATAGAGCTAATGGGAGCCCTACCAACCCTACTCCTAGGTATATACTAGAGAGAGAGAACTGAAAATAAGGAAGCAAATAAAAACCTTTACCTCAATGTTCTTAAAAGCATTACTCACAACCATCTGAAGGTAGTAAAAGCCTATACTCTTCACCAATAGATAAATGGATGAACAAATTGTGGTCTATCCACACGGTGAAATAAAGAGGTACTGGTGCAAGCTATAGGGCACAGTATGTAGTTGAAAGCAGCCAGACACAAAGGCCTAAATGCTGTAGAATTCCCCATACGTGAAACATCTAGAACAGGCAGACCCACAGAAGGCTGATTAATGGCTCCCAGGGGTGAGAAGGGAATGGGAGGAGGGGGGTGCCTGTTAATGGGCATAGGTTTTCTTTTAGGAGTGATAAAAATGTTCTGGAATGAGATCTTGGAGATGGTTGCACAACACTGTGAATATGCTAAAACCCAGTAAATTGCATATTTTAAAAGGGTGAATTTTACGGTATGTGAACTGTATCTCAATAAAAACTGTATAAAGAAAAAAACACGGAGTTGGTGTCTGGCCCATAAAACCTCCATAAATGTTAGGCATTGTTATATTTTCAGTGCAAAGAACCCCCCACTCTCAGGCCCTGGCAGTAGAAACTCAGCATGGGTTACAGGATAGGACATTGGCTCTGTCCTCCTTTACAGCCACAATGGGAAGCAGTAACAAAAAGGGAAGTCCAGCCCACCCCCCCACCCCCACCGACTGCTATGCACACAACTATTTCTGAATAAGCCACAAAAGGGCTCCTAAATGCTTTCTTTTTCTTTTTTTGTGCCAATCCTGGGGCTTGAACTCAGGGTCTGGGCACCGTCCCTGAGCTTTTTTTGCTCAAGGTTACAGCTCCACCATTTGTGCCACAGATCCATTTCTGGCTTTATGGTGGTTAGCCCAGCCGACTTCGAACTACAATCCTTATATCTCAGACTCCTGAGAAGCTAGGATTACAGGCGTAATCCACCAGCACCCAGCTTAATTTTTTTTTTATTGAACAATCTCCCAACTGGGAAGCTTTATCACATTTAGCTGTGGAATCTGTGATTCAGAGAGGGCAAGCTGCTTGCTGAAGGTCACACAAACTCTGGGTTCAGCCAAGAATCTTCTTTTCTTGGAATCTTTTCACAGGCCTTTTCAAGGCCCCTGGAAGCACTATATTTTCCCATAAGTAGAGTGGGTAAGAAGGGCTGTGGGCCAGTAGTAGGGTGGGCTTCAGGAAGAAAGAGAAACTGCTTTGACGGAACAGCAATGAGTGCTAGCAGAAGACCAAGGGTTAAAACGACACCAGCAGTGCCCCCTTTCCCCAAGAAGAACAAGCATACTGAGTTTCTCCTCAGATCACTCCAAATGTGTACCCTAAGTGGATCCCACTGAATATCACCCACAGCATGGGAAAGCCTGAACCAGGGCCAGACCTCTCTCAGTGTGCATCCTGTACCTGGTGAACCCTGCTTGGGCTCTCCACTGGCATGCACATCCCATACCTGTGATATAAGTTCAGCAGGCTAGACAGCAACACTGTCTCTTTGCCTGACTCTGTGCCATCTTCCTAGCCTCTGGCTTGGGCTGAGGGCATCGTAACATCACCAGCTACATCTACTTGACCTTTCCCAAAAAAGTGTAGGAGAGATCATGTTCATGTTCCTTTACAACGCAGACCAAAATCTCAGGTCTGTGTCCTCGTTAGCATCATTATTCAATGAACAAACATCTACTCGGGCCTACTTGAGCTCACAGCCATGTGCTACACACAAGGGACCTACCAGTACCACCTGGCTGGACCACAATCACAAATTACAGATCAGTTTCAGAGCATGCCTTGTAAAGGGGCTGGGCGTTAGGTGGCTCACATCTGTAATTCCAGGAGGCTGAGGTCTGAGAATCACTGTTTGAAGCCAATGCAGGCAAGAAAGTCTGAGAATCTTATCTTCACTTAACCACCAGAAAACCAGAAGTAGAGCTGTGGCTCAAAGTGGTAGAGTGCTGGCTGTGAACAAAAAGAGCTCAGGGACACCACTTATGCCCTGAGTTCAAGCTCTACAACCGCATGGTAAAAGGGTCCTGGCTGGCAGAGACACAGCACAAAAACAAGCACTCTGTTAGGAGCCGACTGGGAAGCTGATGCTACCCAGTGAAACATTTACAAAAGCAAAACTTTAGCTTAGTAGGGGACTAGGATGATAGCTAGAGGTAAAAAATTTCTTTTGGAGACAAAGAAGTGTTCTAAAAGTGACTCTGTTGATGGCTGTACCTCTGAGAATAAACCAAAACCCATTGAATTGTACACTTTAAATGGGTTGGTTGTGCAGGATGAATATGACCACAATAAAAGCTGTTTTAAGCAATATTCACAAGACAATATGTTGGAAATGATCTGTACATCTTGGGGACTGGGGGGGGGGAAGAAAGTAGGAGAAAAATGAGGGCAAGGGTACCAAGTTTTAAAAGAAATGTACTTATTATCTTACTTATTTAACTGTAACCCCTCTGTGTATCCCCTTGACAATAAAAAAAATCACATAAAAATAAATAAAAATAAAAGCCGTTTTAAAGAAATCATTTACTGAGGCCTATGTCAGGCAGTGGGAAAATGAGGACAGTTCCTACTTCATATTATCTGCAGGCAATAGCATAAACTTACTTATTCCCCACTCTAAGGAAGCCAGGCTTCTGGGTGCCTGAAAGGACTGCCTAAGTTTTCAGTCAAGCCTGGGAAACTTCACTCAGAGATAAAGACAATGGTCATAAAGAGCAGTGATCTGATCTACTGTTTACAAGAAGGAGCTACAGTGGACCCAATGGGAAAAGAGAACAAGAAGGTCTGGAAGTCTGAGCAGGCCCCATGATGTATGAGGTGCACAGTTAGCACACCAGCTCCTGAAAGGTGAATCTGCTGCCTATAGGATGGATGGCATCAGGCCTAGCCCACAGCTTGAAGTAACTAGGAAATAGAGGAGGCATGGACACTCTGATGGTTGCTCTACTCAGCTATCCATGTGAACATGAAGGAGAACACCCCCCAACCACACACACACACACACACACACACACACACACACACACACACACACACACACACACACACACACACACACACACACACACACACACACACACACACACACACACACACACACAGGATTCTAGTGAGGTCACATCTGGGAGCTGTCTTTAGTCCTTCAAAGTATCCAATTGAGTGCATCCATACTATGGCCTGCTTCACAAGTCCAGAGAGCCCACTATAAGAAGATACCCACATATCCTGGTGGTCCTCCTCTGCTGCTGACTTCCCAGTTCCCTCACAATGCCTCTCTACTTGGCAAAACCAAATCATTCAAGACTCCTTTCTCAAGCGGCCATCCTGACCTCCCAGGTCAACATCTAGTGACTCACTTCTGTCATTATGACAATGATACATCTTAGAACTGATAGATGCCTTTAGTTTCATCATGTATGTAATTATACTGTTATAGCCTGGCTGTCCCCTACCCCACAATCTGTGCCCCAAGAAAGCAAGAATGGGGCAGGCCAGCTCTGGCTATGTCCTGCCATCCTAAGGCAGTCCAGAAAGGGGAGAGAAGAGAGGCAAGCAAGTCCACTGTGACTCAGCCCTAGGAGGATAGTGCCCTCTCTGTGAGCTTCTTTTTCTTTGAAAAACTTATGATCCTGATTCTAAAGCCCAGAAATATCTGTCAAGAGCAGCTGCTAAAACAAAGGAGGAGGCAACAATGCTTGATAAGAAATGTACTCATGGGGGCCGGGAAGGTGGCTCAGTGGTAGAGCGCTTGCCTTGCATGCCTGAGGCCCTGGGTTCGATTCCTCAGCACCACATAAGCAAAAGAAAAAAGCCAGAAGTGGCACTGTGGCTCAAGTGGTAGAACACTAGCCTTGAGCTGAAGAGCTAAGGGACAGCCCCCAGGCCCAGAGTTCAGGTCCCATGACAGGACCCCTCCCCCGCCCCCACAAAAAAAAATGGTCAAGATAGACTGTATGTGTAAACTGTTTCGGTGAATGGCAATTCCTTTGTACAACTACTTATAGATAACAAAAATATTTTTTTCTTTTCTTTTGTTGGTAGTGGGTCTTGAACTCTGGGCCTGGGCACTATCCGAAAAAAAAGAAAGAAAGAAAGAGAGAGAAAGAAAAGAAAAAAAAAAAGGAAGAAAGAAAGAAAGAAAGGAAAGAAGGTACTCATTACCTTGCCCATGTAATTGTAACCTCTCTGTACGGTATTTTCACAATAAAAAATTTTAAAAAAAGAAAGCTGCTATTCTCCCACTGTCTAAAAATGCCATATACTCCCT